GGGAGAGGCCGTAAGAACAAACACGGTACCTTGAACTTATTTTTAGGTGTTTCAGGAAGATATTTGCTAAATGGTTTGAAAAAGCTGAGGCTGAGGAGAGATGGCATGTTGACAATAAAATCTGTGTTCCAACATATTTTTATTTGTTGGCACTTGCTAGAAACTTGGAGCATCTTTGGGTGAGAGTTGACATGGCTTCATTTGAAACTACTTAGTTGGCACGTCTGTAACTGAATTATATGGCTAGATATAAGAAAAGGACAGAAGGCTAGAGGAAGGACGAGAAGAAGTACAAAGCAAATGCTACTATCCATTTTTGGTTGATGCTGGGCAAACATCTGAAGTTTCTGTGCATGAAGGAGGAAATCGGATCAATTAGCAGTTAACTCTGCTATGCTATATTATGGTGACATCACAAAACACTTGGATTTGGGCTCTATCCTTTGTTTTGGCACAGAGGCAATCCTGGAATTTTCTAGTTGTTCAGTGTGCTAGGTTCATCTTTTATTTGGCCATCTGGTCTCTGACTCCCACTCCTGATTTGGGTTCAAACAAGGGATAGCATCAAGGATCGTGAGCATGCTGACAAGTGCTCTGTAACTGAGCTACGCCTGTGCTCTAAAGAGTTACTCTTCTTTTTAGTTTATGTGTACAAATGTTTTACCTACATGTATGTCTTCATCCCATGTAAATGCCTGGTGCTCATGGATGCCAGAAGAAGAGTTACAGTTATGAGCGACCAGGTATATGCTGGGAAACCAAATGTGGAAGAGCAGCCGAGTAGCCAGTGTTCCTAACTACTGAGCCATCTCCTCAGCCCCATGAGTTGACTCGTAATGGGCTCCTGGATGCAGATGTCCATGGGTAAAACAAAGCCATGATTAACATTGTTAAACTGACACCCCATCCTCCATGATCTAGGAAGAAGAGAGGTCTAGAGTGAGTGTACGTGATGAGCCATGATAAAAATCCCATGATCCTCTGTGCTCAATATTCATGCTGTAGCACTTGTGAACCTGCTGTGGGTGGATCCCTTGAGTCTCAGGAATTTGAGCCAAGCACGGGTAACAAATGAGGCTCCATCTCAAATAAATACCCAAGACCCATCCCTGAAGTACGGGACTGGGAGGTTCTAACCTGTTGTTCTAACGTGTGAGAGTACCTAGAGGGTAATACAACCAGAGAAGGCAGGGACGCTCTTTCTGAACATCCCAATCGCATCTGTCTTTGCTGTTGTGCTGTGCATGTGCATCCTCTGCAGTGTTCTCTAGAACACATAAGTGGGTGCACGATCAGTGAACTGTTTCCCCAAGTTCTGGGAGATGCTCTAACAAATTAATCAGCCTGGAAAATGGCAGTATTAGGAACTTAAATGTGTGAGTGGGCAGGCATAAATACAGGTAACAACCTGGGGCCTTTGGGCAAGACCTGAAGGGTCACTCAGGTGTGACTTAGACCTGTGGGGCTAGGTGCTGTCTCCATGTGGATGGCAGATTGCAATGAATTTAGGATAGCATCCATCTAAGAACTACAGATTGTTCAGGAAACACTCATTTATCTGGGATTAGCTAGCGCTGCGCTGATTCTATGGAAGATAAAAACTTGTTGATCTCTTGCACGTGCTATGCTCAACACCCTCAGTTATCAAAAGCACTGGGGAAAAAGAGTAAAGTAGGCCTTCCAAGGCCCACATATGTCTGAAATCTGAAACTGGCCTGTAAGACACTCCTCATTTTATACTGTGGTGACAGTCTGTTTGTTACCACTGTCTAATGAACATCAGACTGAGGAATACATCACAGTGCTCCTGTGAGGCCAGGTCCTGTGGCTCTACCACCTTGCGTCTGAAGGCTACAACTAGAATCAACATGTTCCCAGTTACTGAAGCATTTCTATCTACTGTGCAGAAGGGAATCTGGGTCTAACCACACCTAGTACACAGAGTGACTTGATACACATGATTTCACTGTGGATATGAACATCATAAACCAGGAATCTCTTGGTTCTAAACAAATAGGGTACAATGGTGGTCCTCTTTAAAACTATGTCAAAATTAAAACCCTATCACGAAGAAGGAAAATATGGGTCATTTGAGACTTTCAACAGGGAATTAGTGCTCTGCTCTCGCGAATCCATTAATCCACACATGGGACTGACAAATAAAAGCCTTTCTCAAAAAACTAGTCTCCTCTAAAATCTAGTTTGTCTGGGTCTGTCAAGCACTCCCCATCTTTCACTATGTGAGGCCCTGAGCCACCTCTCGACTCTGTCAATGAGGTCACTACGAGGTGTGGTTAATTCAGCAGGACCTGGAACCATGAACCATAAATCTCTTTGTGGGAGGTAGTGTCAAAAAAGGAGGAGGCAGAGAAAGAATGTCTTCCTTCTCCATAACTTAGCGTATTGTGATGTATCATCTATAGCAATAATAAACAGTTAAGGCACAGAGCAAGGGACAGATATATCAGCACAGTGGTAGAACATTTGCCTAGCATATTCAAGGTCCTGGGGTTGGTCTTCAGTCTACACACACAAACACACACACACACACACAGACACACATACACACACACACAGAGGCTGCAAAGTCAGAGAAAGAGAGAGAGAGAGAGAGAGAGAGAGAGAGAGAGAGAGAGGGAGAGAGGGAGAGAGAACGCGCTAGTAGTAGGAGGAGAGAGATAGAGAAAGAGATGGGGGGAAGGAGGGAGAGAGAGAGAGGTCACAGAGTCTATTAAAGAACCACAGGGAACACAGTGACATTAGTGCCCACAGCATGACTCTTAAGAGACTGCCAAGCCTAATTTCTCTTGTTATATATTTCTATTTTTATGCATAGGAATGTTTTGCCTGAACATATAAATGCAAACTACATACATGTCTGGTGCATAGGGAGGTCAGAAGAGGGTGCCAGTTTTCTGAAACTGTAGATGCTAGAAACAGAACCTAGGTTCTCTGCAAGAAGAAACTGCTCCAAGCCCCCAAGAGTGAGTTCTTATCCAAGTTTAGACACTTAATTCTATAGCAATAAAGGATTTACAATCCAGTTTTCCTATGCATAAAATGAGAGAAATAATTTCCATCTAAGGTTCTTAAGAATCCCAAAGATACACACAAAGAGAGAGGAGGGACAGGGAGGGAGAGGGAGAGGGAGAAGGAGA